TCAACTAGCCGGTGCCCCCGCACATTGACTATGCAACGGTACCCCCCTGTATATATAGCCTCCCTACTGTCACTTTATTTTACTGTATATATAGCCTCCCTACTGTCACTTTATTTTACTTCTGCTCTTTTTTTTCTCAACACTTTTTTGTTGTTGTTTTATTCTTACTTTTTTTGTTTAAAATAAATGCACTGTTGGTTAAGGGCTGTAAGTAAGCATTTCACTGTAATGTCTGCACCTGTTGTATTCGGCGCATGTGACCAATAAAATTTGATTTGATTTGATTTGATTTGACACCCTGGCTCAACATATAGAGTCCCAGAGCCAGGGTGTGACAGGCACAGATGGAACAATCCAAGCAGAAGATACATTTCCTTCAAATGTTGATATTTGCTTGCATTGACAGCCAAACACAATTCAATATCACTAAACATCATTACATTTTAAATCTAGGCCTATTATTATGTCTATTTTTGGTTGAATTCTGTGTTGAATTGAAACAATAGCTGTTGATGACATTGCAAAATGCCATATAGGCCTAAATAGCATCATTGATGATATATGAGTGATAAAGTATGGTCACATTTCATTTGCTCTGTTAAACCTACACTTTGGAATGACTTCGATAGCAACAGTGAATATATTTAGTTTTTACGTGAAGACCACTCAACCATCATTCTCATGATAGCATTTGGTTTCAATGATGACATAATCCTGTGGTTGAAATTTCACCCTCAAAACAATGTATTTTCCACATAGATTCCACCAGTGGTGTGCATTCATTGATGCCAAGGGAAGCCAGGCAAAAACGGATAAATACAAAAATACAAAAAATACAAAAACATCAAATAATGTATCTTTCGTCTCTCTGTGTTTCATAATTTTCCTTCAATTCGCAAGAGGCTGAATGCATCTCACAGGAGAAAGCATCCAAGCGAGCAAAAAAGAGCCCTGCTGTCTCTTTACGTGTAGGCCATCTATCTGATGCTGTCTGGTCCAAACGAGTTTCACATCGTTGCCACCCGTAGCATTGAAGGCAAGGGAAGCCAGCGAGCATTTGGCCTCCCTTGATAAAAAAAGTAGAAAACTGGGAATGGTCCTGGCACACCAAAAAAAAGTGTCAAGGGAAGCCAGCTTGGATTTTGGCGTCAATCCTATCAAATCCCATTGAGAGCATACGTCATTGACAGAAAAACTTGAATTGTTACATCTCTTTGTGTTGTTAGCTAAAATTGTCCCTTTCCTAAATTAGCTATGGATGGAGATAGGGATTTGGACTTGTGGTTTTACTTAATTCTCCGTACTGGCCAATAATTATAATGGCGATTCTGATACAACCATTAATTCATACATTGTTGTACCCCTGGCCTGAGAGGATGGAACTTCAATATGTACAGTTGAAGTCAGAAGTTTACATACACCTTCGCCAAATACATTTAAACTCAGTTTTTCACAATTCCTGACATTTAATCCTAGTAACAATTCACTGTCTTACGTCAGTTAGGATCACCACTTTATTTTAAGAATGTGAAATGTCAGAATAATATAGAGAGAATGATTTATTTCAGCTTTTATTTATTTCATCACATTCCCAGTGGGTCAAAAGTTTACATACACTCAATTAGTATTTGGTAGCATTGCCTTTAAGTTGTCTAACTTGGGTCAAACGTTTCGGGTAGCCTTCCACAAGCTTCCCACAATAAGTTGGGTGAATTTTGGCCCATTCCTCTTGACAGAGCTGGTGTAACTAAGTCAGGTTTGTAGGCCTCCTTGCTCGCACACGCTTTTTCAGTTCTGCCCACAAATTTTCTATAGGATTGAGGTCAGGGCTTTCTGATGGCCATTCCAATACCTTGACTTTGTTGTCCTTAAGCCATTTTGCCACAACTTTGGAAGTATGCTTGGGGTCATTGTCCATTTGGAAGACCCATTTGCAACCAAGCTTTAACTTCCTGACTGATGTCTTGAGATGTTGCTTCAATATATCCACATAATTGTCCTTCCTCATGATGCCATCTATTTTGTCAAGTGCACTAGTCCCTCCTGCAGCAAAGCACCCCCACAGCATGATGCTGCCACCCCCGTGCTTCACGGTTGGGATGGTGTTCTTCGGCTTGCAAGCATCCCCCGTTTTTCCTCCAAACATAAAGATGGTCATTATGGCCAAACAGTTCTATTTTTGTTTCATCAGACCAGAGGACATTTCTCCAAAAAGTACAATCTTTGTCCCCATGTGCAGTTGCAAACCGTAGTCTGGCTTTTTTATGGCGGTTTTGGAACAGTGGCTTCTTCCTTGCTGAGCGGCCTTTCAGGTTATGTCGATATAGGACTCGTTTTACTGTGGATATAGATACTTTTGTACCTGTTTCCTCCAGCATCTTCACAAAGTCCTTTGCTGTTGTTCTGGGATTGATTTGCACTTTTCGCACCAATGTACGTTCATCTCTAGGAGACAGAACGCGTCTCCTTCCTGAGCGGTATGACGGCTGCGTGGTCCCATGGTGTTTATACTTGCGAACTATGGGGGGGGGGGGGGGGGCTTGGCTTCCCCAGTGATTTGCTACTGGATTTCACATCACAATACGTTGACAAATTATATTGATTCAACCAGTTTGTGCAGTGGGAAGTCTCTCTTGTTTCACAGGCCTTTCAGTGGTGACCCCACCCATCCCTCTTGTTTCTATGGGCAAGCAGCAGGCTGAGCCATGCCAGTAATGTGAAGCAGCATTCCTCACATACTTTCCACATCATCAAGCCTTCTGTGGTTTTACCCTACCCACCTCAGCATTTTCACATCCCGGAAAGTAGATTTGGATATGGAACAAAGGCTCTGCTGCCACTCGGAAATAACGGCTCCCAATTCGAGGGTCAGAGGGCACATGTAAGCCCAAGAGGTTTCTTAGGGAGATTCCCATGGCAACTACTTGCATCAGCCAACATCACACACCACTCCCTGGTTCTACCAGACTACTGCTTTACATAATGCCAAATGTTTTCCTCTCTTGTCGTTTTCCAAGATTGGGGAGAATAATCGAGTGTGGGGGGGCCCTAATGCGAAGATCATAAACGTGCTAGAACACGCGTGGGAGTCACAGACGTCTCAGTCGGGTAGAAAATAGACAAACCAAAACACCTAAACTGCATAATAGGATGAACTCTTAAAGGGTGTGACGCATGTAATGAAAAGTGTTGTTCTTATTTTCCCTGTGTGCACTCTTAGACCCCAAGACGAGTGCATTGACAGGTAAAGGGACATTCTCTATAAGATAATGGTGAGGTGACTGTCTGTGAGAGGTGTAGCTGGGTGGACAGGATGTAGGAATGACTTCAGATTAAGTCCTGTTCATTCTCTCCATCATCCACACCTGTATAGAAGTGAGACATTTTCCCACAGGTTGGCTTATTTAAACTGATTTACTGCAGGTGTGGTGTGCCATGGTGACAACAGTATTTCAGAGGTCATTTTAACAGCCCGTTCACTTTCATTTACCGTCTTTCATCCCACCAACCAATGTTCCCTCTAAACTGCGCTGCTGCGCAGCTCCCCGAACTGCCTCGCAGAGAGCAGAATATCAATTCATGGAGAGAAGCACCAGATTGAATTTCAACTTTCTAGAGTTTTCCCTGTTACTCAGCCCATACTCTACACAGACCGATGCGGCATAACCAATCAGAGCTGCAGTAGGTCTATATGCAAATAGACCATTGCCATATATGGATCTGTGCCATTTACTTTTACAGTCCAGTTCAAAGTAAATGGCACAGTATCCACATATGGCAATGGTCTATTTGCATATAGGCCTACTGCAGCTCTGATTGGTTATACTGCACCGGTCTGTGTAGAGTTTGGCTGAGTCGTGCGTGTCAATGCAATAGAATCCTACTCTGATGTGTTCTTCCTACAACAAAATCTCTTACATAGTTCGTTTTGTTTCTGTATGTTGCATTGAAAGTGGCTAATATTGCGTTGATTCGATCACAATTGCCACAGTAAAGGGAAACGTTGATAGTGTTAACTGGGAAAACTATAGAAAGTTGAGTGAAGTTCAATCCCGTGCTTCTCTCTGTGGGCTGATATTTCTTCTGCGCTTGCCAGGTAGTCCCGTGGAGCTGTGTGGCAGTCTCAGGGCTGCTGCACACAGTTTAGAGATGAACATTGGTCGTGACTAGATGCACTTGTTTAGAGATCAAAGCAAGATCTTCATGTAGCCACTTGTGCACATTTTGTTAATATCCTTTGCTAGTTGGTGAGATTAGCCCAGTTATAGATCATTTGTAGTCAGCAATAAGGGAGTGATTGCTTCCTACAACAGCACAAAACGTGTGCATTTATAGACATCTTTGAAAAGCAAGTCAGGTAAAGAGCTTTTTTTTTGTCTGAAAGGGGCAGTGTTGTATTTTGAGACAGGCTTGAATAAACTAAGTAGCCAATAGGCAGAGGTTAGCATAATGTCTGATTCTCTGTAGAATGGTATGGGAATTTGCATTTTATTTAGTGAAGTGGTTTCTTCCATCAAACATTTTCAGTCACCTCCTTGTCTGAAGGACAAGTGGATAAACAGGTTAATGTCAAGCCCTGCATGTAGGGCTTGACATTAATGGAATGTAGGCCTACATTGACCACCACACATTGGCTTCTACTGTATGCTGAATGATAGAACAGCTATTTCCATGTTAAAATGTTATGGGATGTATTTTCTCCATTGTTTTTGATGGTAGACCACTCTGGTAGGCTAAGATCAAATAACCACAGTAGCCTACTTGGCTACTTAAAACGGTAACTTAAAGCGGGTACAGCCTCAGTGTTCACAGTAAACGCGCGCTGGAAGTTGCACAGAATTTTCAATGTTCAAGTTTGCGCTCAGCAGAGCTGAAATTTGCTCAGTGCTGAAAAAAATTAGGGAACATTGCCACCAACCCCCCTTATTTTCCACCACCCTGTGCCCCCACCCATCCCTTTCCTAGAAGTACTATGCACTCAATGACTGACAGAAAAGTGCTTTTACCACAAGAAATGTCTTTATTTTTCTTCCAACATACTGTTGACACACAGGTATACAAGAGAGATATCTTGCAAAAAAACAATATTCACTAATGTCATTATCAGAACAAAACATTTAGAACAGTAATATGGAATGTTGTCATCATTGTCTCCATTTTGTTTGTCATTTTTTTGTTTTGTTTATTTTTAAGAAATATGTCAAATAAATAAAGTCTCTATAGTCTTTGTATTTATTGTCCTTATCAATATATTCTGTTCTTCAGTCACCATTTCAGGAATGAAGAGGAGCAAATCAGACAAACACTAAGAAAGTGACAAAGTAATGATGTTATTCCCTTATAAACCCCCACTTTAAATGTCTTTGATTTAGAGACTAAACAGTACGGGGGTGGAATTGTTGACAAAAGGTAGAAATCCATTCTTCTTCACCAAAATGTTATTCTCCTTCCATGCATCGTTGTTGTAAATCCAGACGGCCAAAAGTATAACAAAAGTTTGTTTGTTGCTGGGGTCTGCAGAAACACCAGAAGAAATATAAAATAAATCGGCCATAGGAGAGTGAGGAGTTGCCAGCTGACCGAGCGATCTGCCTAGCCCGTTCAGTCTGTACAGAAGCAACCCCCACTCGTGTGTTGCTGTGCTGTTGGGGGAACAGCAGTCCAAATGCCATCCACAAACACTTCACGTCACCATACAGTTTAAAAGCATCAAGTACAACCTCCAGAACTACACAAGCTTTTGGTCCCTCTCTCAGAGTGACCATACAGTAAAGAAAACAGTAACAGAGGAGCAGAGAGGAGGAAAGGAGGACAGGATGCTACATGAGTCCCTGAGCCTGTTAATAGACCAGAGTCTCAGACACTATCTCTCCCACTACACAGAAAATAAAGAGATGAAGAAAGAGAGGAAGAACAGTCACAGAGACAAGGTGCAAACGAGTGCACAAGCAGTCCTGTCCCGTGTTGGTGAGGTGACTGGCTGTGAGAGCTGTAGCTGGACCGACCTCAGCACCAACCCAGAAGCTCCCTGTTTCTCCCCTACAGTAGGTGGGGGGTCAGACCCCCGGCCGTGTCGTGGCCATTAGAACCAGGCCAGTTGCGGAGGAGGGCAGAGCAGGGCTACAGCTGCAGCTCAGTGCTGTTATTCCCAGGTTAGGTTAGTTTTCCAGAGTGGAGGCTCAGCCTTTAGTCGGCGCTGTGCTCCTCCAGCTGCGAGATGATGGTGATGAGGTTCTGCAGGCCGAAGATGTAGCCGCTGTCCTGACCCTCATGCACCACACTGTCCTCCCCGTAATGGCGGCACGTCGTGTGGGCAAAGTCTATCATCCTCACATCCACCGCCGGACTGCTGGCCTCCACTGCTCCGCCGCGGGACGAGCGACCGGCGCTACCCTTACTGCTACCGTTACTGCTCCCACCAGCACTGCTGCCAGCTGCCGAGCCACGGGGGAACCCAAACGCACCTTCTTTCTCTTCCTCATCCTCTTCCTCATCTGAGGGCTCGTCATCGTCACCCTCCTCTCCTCCGCGGTGGCGTGGTCTGGTGGGGGCGCAGGCGCGGGGGGGCTCCCCATCATAGATGATGAGGAGGGAGGAGGAGTAGAAGCGGTAAGACTCGCAGGACTCCAGGGTTTCCTGCATCTCCCTGAGCTTCCACAGTACCGGGGAGAGCAGCTCGCGCCGCAGACGCTGCCCATCGTGGAAGAACTGGAACAGGGCCTCCTTGAAGCCCGGCAGGCTCAGCTTACGCCCGTGGTACTTGTTCATGAACATCAGCTGGCCTGAGTCTGACTGGTACACCTGCATGCCACAAAGCCGGACACCGATGGAGGCGGAGGTGCTCTGTTGACATTTGCGGATCTGGTTGGCTTTCTTCTCCTCCGACGCATCGTCACCGTGCTGCCGCGTGCCCATCTTTAGGTCCAGCACGCACGGAACCGTGTGACGCCATGTCAGGTTCTCCAACAGGATGAATTTGTATTGGTTGCGGTGTTTGGAGTTCTCCTTCATCCTCTGGAGGTGCTGCTGGTGGCATTTCAGACTCCAGGGGTTGTGTTTAATCTGCTTCTGATCCAGGCTGTAGCAGAGAACCTCAGCCTGCTGCTGCGCCTCTGCACCGTTATAACTACACACAGAGAGAGAGAGGGAAAAGAGGTTAGATATCTACCCCTCACCATACATCTTTGCTGCATGTTGGCGTTTGGACATATTTGTGTGTATATACAGTATATGTAACAGTGTATGAGCTCACCTTTTGCTCTTGTTCTCTTTAGTGCTCTGTCTGGCCCAGTCTATGCTGTAGTTGTCATTCTCCAGCAGTAGGGACGAGGTCTTCTTGTTACCCCATTTGATCATCTTGCTCTTGGGCTCGCAGTCAGCTGAGGGGTCCTTGTTTTCCAGGTTCTCTGGTTCATTGTGGAGGGGGTAGGCAATGAGGCACAGGTTGCCCTCTTCGTCTTCCTCAAAGCTGACTGACACCACACCTGAGAGAGGGAGAGATGGAGGGAAGCAGGAGAGAGAAGGCAGTTAGTACCGGCATTGGATTTTATATTTTATAACGCTATGATGAAGCCAAGACCTCCCCGTAACTGGGTTGTCACAGGCAGCTCTTACCAACTAGGTCCTGCTTCCAGCCAAATACACTCTGTAAAGAGAGATGCAAACACAAACACAGGCATTCCTATGGAGGGAGCAGAGAGAGAGAGCAGGTTGGGGGGCAAGGACGCAGCAGAGAGAGAGAGCAGGTTGGGGGGCAAGGACGCAGCAGAGAGAGGGAGCAGGTTGGGGGGCAAGGACGCAGCAGAGAGAGAGAGCAGGTTGGGGGGCAAGGACGCAGCAGAGAGAGAGAGCAGGTTGGGGGGCAAGGACGCAGCAGAGAGAGAGAGCAACGAGTGGCAACAACAACAGATGTATCTTTCTAAGTACTTCAAATGTATATGTGAGAATGAACCCAAGAAGCAAAGAGATACACAAACACCACAGGAGGCTCGAATGTATGACACTCAGTCCAACCTTTATTGAGCAACTACCAAACCCACCCAGAACCACAAATAAACTGAAACGCACACAGTGTTACAACATTTCAAGGCAACCCAAAAGAAATCACAGCAAAGATACACCGTATAAACTCAAATACAACCATGACAACAACACACCAGAAATGCAGACATATTCACCCAACAGTGCAATATTCTATTTCATAGAGATACAAAAGTTCCATCAAGTCAGGCACTTTGCGTACACTGCCTCTCTGACCAGTCCTTGTTTTAAGAGTCCATTCAGGTCTGACTTGCCTTTTTATACAGTTCAATTGAAGGCAATAATCCAAACACACTAACAAATGAAAAAGGGAAGGGATAGACAGAGTGGTGGGGAGGAGGGTGGTGGGATGGACAGAGTGGTGGGGAGGAGGGTGATTGGATGGACAGAGTGGTGGGGAGGAGGGTGATTGGATGGACAGAGTGGTGGGGAGGAGGGTGGTGGGATGGACAGAGTGGTGGGGAGGAGGGTGGTGGGATGGACAGAGTGGTGGGGAGGAGGGTGGTGGGATGGACAGAGTGGTGGGGAGGAGGGTGGTGGGATGGACAGAGTGGTGGGGAGGAGGGTGGTGGGATGGACAGAGTGGTGGGGAAACACTTTTATAGAAAACTATACACACACTGTTTCTTAGTCCCGGGTGAATTTATGATGTGATCCCAAAACATGAACGCACCCCCTACCTCCCTATCCAATAAACCCCCATAAAAGGGCCTGTGTACTGCAGCTCTCACTGCAGACTGGTGGTTTCAAGACAGGAAGAGTAAAACATCACAACTGCAGGAGCTGACACATAAACCAGAGAGAGGGAGGGATGGAGGGATTGGAAGATGGAGCGAGATAGGGAAGGGGAGTGAGATGAATATACAGCATTCTATTGGATATAAACATGACAATACGACTGAGCACAAAACAAGAAAATCCCAGCCTTTTTGTAATATTTACACAACAAAAAACATCCCTGGTTGACACTGGAGGAAAGGTTATCTGAAGCATAAAGACAGATCCTTCATTAGGGCCTATGTGTATGAGATGATACTAGGTGGGTTGGCTAGTGACATGAAGGACAATGGGACCCAGCGCTTATCTCTCCTCTGCAGCACCTGCCCTGAGTGATGTCATGCAGAGTGATGTCACTACCCTGCAACAGTTTACCCTCTACTTCCCAGGCCAGTTCCAACTGTAAGAGCTGCACTGTCATCGGGCATGTGAGGATGAGTGTGTGAGTCCCTGTGACTAATGTACTTTGTGAGTATGTGAAAGTCAGTGTATATGGGCGGCCTAAATGAGTTTGTAAGAGTGTGAGAGTGTGTGTAAGAGTGTTTGGAGCAGAAGTGAATGTGTTTGTTTGGTGGAATATATCTCAGTGTCACCAGACGTCTGTGCTAATCTTTCTACATCTTCCTCTCCTATCCACTGTTCTTTTTATAGTCCCACAATGCATTGCTGCGCAGTCAAATACCATGCTAGCGCCTCAACTCTGTCACATAAGTGACGTGATAGAAAGTGTGTTTGTGTGTGGTGTGCGTGTTTATGCCTATCTGTGCGTGCAAGTGTCAGGAGTCAATGAGTGTAGCATCATGGTAAATGAAAAACTAAACAGAATGTGATATTCCAACCAAGGTGGTTGTGTGTGACAAATCAAATCAAATTGTATTTGTCACATACACGTGTTTAGCAGATGTTATAGCGGGTGTAGCGAAATGCTTGTGCTTCTAGCTCCGACAGTGCAGTAATATCTAACAATTTCACAACATATACCCAATACACACAAAACTAGTAAGGAATGGGATTTAAGAATATATACATATATGGACAAGCAATGTCAGAGTGGCCTGGACTAAGATACAGTAGAATATTATAGAATAGAATAATAATAATAATAATATGCCATTTAGCAGACGCTTTTATCCAAAGCGACTACAGTCGTGCGTGCATACATTTTTTTTGTGTATGGGTGGGTCCCGGGGGATCGAACCCACTACTTGGCGTTACAAGCGCCGTGCTCTACCAGCTGAGCTACAGAGGACCACAATGCAGTATATAATATGAGATGAGTAGTGTAAACATTATTCCATTTCTTAAAGTGGCCAGTGATTTCAATAGGCAGCAGCAGCCTCTATGTGCTATGATGGCTATTTAACAGTCTGATGGCCTTGAATAGAAGCTGTTTTTCATTCTCTCGGTCCCAGCATTAATGCACCTGTACTGACCTCGCCTTCTGGATGATAGCGGGGTGAACAGGCAGTGGCTCGGGTGGTTGATGTCCTTGATGATCTTTTTGGCCTTCCTGTGACATCGGGTGTTGTATGTGTCTTGGAGGGCGGGTAGTTTGCCCCCGGTGGAGAGCCCTGCGGTTGTGGGCAGTGCAGTTGCCGTACCAGGCGGTGATACAGCCCGATAGGATGCTCTCAATTGGGCATCTGTAAAAGTTTGTGAGGGTTTTAGGTGCTAAGCCAAATTTCTTCAGCCTCCTGAGGTTGAAGAGGCTCTGTTGCGCCTTCTTCACCACACTGTCTGCATGGGTGGACCATTTCGGTTTGTCGGTGATGCGTACGCCATGGAACTTGAAGCTTTCCACCTTCTCCACTGCGGTCCCGTCGATGTGGATAAGGGGGTGCACCCTCTGCTGTTTCCTGAAGTCCACGATTATCTCCTTTTTGTTTTGTTGATGTTGAGTGAGAGGTTATTTTCCTGGCACCACACTCCCAGAGCCCTCACCTCCTCCCTGTAGGCTGTCTCGTCATTGTTGGTAATCAAGACTACTACTGTTGTGTCGTCTGCACACTTGATGATTGAGTTGGAGGCGTGCTTGGCCACGCAGTCATGGGTGAACAGGGAGTACAGGAGGGGGCTGAGCACGAGTGTTGAGGATCGTTGAAGTGGAGATGTTGTTTCCTACCTTCACCACCTGGGGGCGGCCCGTTAGGAAGTCCAGGACCCAGTTGCACAGGGCGGGGTTCAGACCCAGGGCCTCGAGCTTAATGATGAGCCTGGAGGGTACTATGGTGTTGAATGCTGAGCTATAGTCAATTAACAGCATTCTTACATAGGTATTCCTCTTGTCCAGATGGGATAGGGCAGTGTGCAGTGTGATGGCGATTGCATCATCTGTGGATCTATTGGGGCGGTAAGCATATTGAAGTGGGTCTAGGGTGACAGGTAAGGTAGAGGTGATATGATCCTTGACTAGTCTCTCAAAGCACTTCATGATGACAGAGGTGAGTGCTACAGGGCGATAGTCATTTAGTTCAGTTACCTTTGCTTTCTTGGGTACAGGAACAATGGTGGCCATCTTGAAGCATGTGGGAACAGCAGACTGGGAAAGGGAAAGATTGAATATGTCCATAAACACACCAGCCAGCTGGTCTGCGCATGCTCTGAGGACCCAGCTAGGGATGCCGTCTGGGCCGGCAGCCTTGCGGGGGTTAACATGCTTAAACGTCTTAATCACGTGGCCATGGAGAAGGAGAGGCCACAGTCCTTGGTAGTGGGCCTCGTCAGTGGAACTGTGTTATCCTCAAAGCGGGCGAAGAAGGTGTTTAGCTTGTCTGGAAGCGAAACGTCTGTGTCGGTGACGGCGACGTGGCTGGTTTTCTTTTTGTAGTCCGTGATTGTCTGTAGACCCTGCCACATACGTCTCGTGTCTGAGCCGTTGAATTGCGACTCCACTTTGTCTCTATACTGATGTTTTGCCAGTTTAATTGCCTTGCGGAGTGAGTAGCTACACTGTTTGTATTCTGCCATATTCCCAGTCACCTTGCCATGGTTGAATGCGGTGGTTCGCGCTGTTAGATTTGCGCAAATGCTGCCGTCTATCCACGGTTTCTGGTTAGGGTAGGTTTTAATAGTCACAGTGGGCACAACATCACCTATACACTTCCTAATAAACTCAGTCACTGTTTCAGTGTTTTCGTCTAAATTATTTTCGGAAGCTACCCGGAGCATATCCCAGTCCGCGTGATCAAAACAATCTTGAAGCGTGGATTCCGATTGGTCAGACCAGCGTTGAATAGTCCTTAGCACGGGTACTTCCTGTTTGAGTTTCTGCCTATAGGAAGGGAGAAGGAAAATGGAGTCGTGGTCAGATTTGCCGAAAGGAGGGCGGGGGAGGGCCTTATAACCATCCCGGAAGTTTGAATAGCAATGGTCAAGGATTTTAGCAGCGCGAGTACAACAGTCGATATGTTGATAGAACTTCGGCAACCTAGTCCTCAAATTTGCCCCTGGCTACAATAAATGCAGCCTCAGGATATGTGGTTTCCAGTTTGCATAAAGTCCAGTGAAGTTCTTTGAGGGCCGTTGTGGTATCGGCTTGAGGGGAGATATACAGGCCGTGACTATAACCGAAGAAAATTCTCTTGGGAGATAATATGGTCGGCATTTGATTGTGAGATATTCTAGGTCGGGTGAACAAAAGGACTCGAGATCCTGTATGTTACTTCAATTACACCATGAGTCGTTAATCATGAAACACACACCTCCGCCCTTCTGCTTCCCGGAGAGATATTTATTTCTGTCTGTGCGATGAACTGAGAACCCATCTGGCTGGACCGATTTCGACAGAATATCCCAAGAGAGCCATGTTTTCGTGAAACAGAGTATGTTACAGGCCTTGATGTCTCTCTGGAAAGAAATCCTTGCCCGTAGTTCGTCGACTTTGTTAACCAAAGATTGAACATTAGAGAGTAGGATACTTGGAAGCGGTGGGTGGTGTGCGCATCTCCTAAGTCGAACCAGCAGGCCGCTCCGAGTGCCTCTCCTCCGCCGGCGATGTTTTGGGTCAGCTGCTGGAATCAGTTTAGTTGCCCTGGGGAGAGCAAACAAAGGATCTGCTTCGGGAAAGTCGTATTCCTGGTCGTAATGCTGGTGAGTTACCGCCACTCTGATATCCAATAGTTTTTCCCGGCTGTATGTAATGATGCAAAACACTTTCTGAGCTAATAATGTAAAAAATAATACATAAAAAAACAAAATACTTCAAAGTTTCCTAAGAGCTAGTCGCGAGGCCGCCATCTTCGTCGGCGCCAGGATATAAGGACAGTGTGTGCATGTGTGTATTTGTTTTCCATGACAGGGTGATGTCCAGTCAGACACGGCCATCTCTCCCACTTCGTCTAATGCTAAATGCCCTGTCCTTTGGTAAAGGGGTCACACCTATCTGTCAGGGGATAAAGATCCTGCCATACCCCTCTCCAGTCTCCACCATTACATTACCTGACACTGCAAAGTGAGCCGGCTCATTTGTCTCTCAAACGGCTCCTAGTTCAAAATGCTTCAAAATCAAACTAGAACCAAGAAAAAATTGCTAATCTCTAATGTAAAGCCCAAAAGGTAGGCTACCATTTTTTTACGCAGTGGAAAAATCAGCGTGGACCAGATTGATGCGCTCTCCCCATTATTTATTGTTTCTGCAGTGACGATTCACCCTCTTCAGATAATTATTTTGTAACTTCTCTGCAGAAAAACTTGTTTTGAGCTCAAAAAGCAGTAGTAGCAGTAGGCAATGCAAATCAGCCAAATTAACGGTTCTTTCACCAATGCGATTCGGTTCACCAAAAAGATCAGTTCAAAAAGAGCCGTTCGCGGAACGACCCCTCACTACTGCATAGCCCTGACGCATCATGCAGTCACATACTGTCTGTCCCCCACCTTCACTTAAGCCCCACCATAAAACAAATCATTTTGTGCCATGGTACTGCCATCTCCAGCAACCTGCTGTAATCCTAAATGCAGCCAATAATACACAACACACCAGCCGACCATATCAGTAGAGAACCAGGGAGAGAAAAAGAGAGATGGAGGGGTGGAGCTGGAGGTAGAGAAAGTGACAGAGAAGAAGGCTGCCTGGTCTCATAGACTAGACGTAACATAGTAAATGTAAATCCGGGCCATATGTTACGTTTGGTACGGTTACATAAGACAGATGGTTACTTAAGGCAAAACGAACGCAATGGTTGAGAGTTTAAATCTCATCACGGACAACTTTAGCATTTGAGCTAATTAGCAACGTTTCAACTACTTATTACTTAGCATGTTAGCTAACCCTTCCCTATCCCTAACACTTTTAGCTAACCCTTCCCCTATTCATAACCTTAACCCTTTTAGCTAACCCTTCCCCTAACCTTAACCTTAACTCTAATCCCTAGCCTAGCACATGTCAGCCAGCTAGCTAAAGTTAGTCACCTAGCCAGAATTCGTAACATAGCATATGTTTTTCCAAATTCTTAACATATAGTACATTTTGCAAATTCGTAACATATCATACGAATTGTAATTCGTAACATATCGTACGAAATGGGTGCTGGACATCCACAAATTAATAAAACCCATACGAAACGTAACATATCATACAAATGGAGTATTTCGGATTTACATAAAGAATAATACAAAATGATCTGATACCAGGTTGAAGAAGGAATTTGGGGAGATTAATACTGGGCAGTAGCAATAGCCACAAACACACAGCATAAAGGATGTTATTCCAATGACAGTGTTATATTGTAGGTTTAGGGTGTGGTAAGGGAATACGCTTACCTCTGTACTGGGGGGTGAACTTCCTCATCTCGGGGGGCAGGCTCTTGTAGAACTGATGTTCTCGGGGGATAAGGGGCTTGCAGATGGTCTGGTCGCCGAAACGTAGCACGCAAGAGTGGCCCCCCACCTGGTGCACAAAAGGCTCAAGCATAACCCCTTTCCCGGGATAGGGGGGCGTCCCGTCTGCCTGCATGAGGGCTTCTAGAGCAGGACTCATCCTCACTCCGCATCGGACAGCTAAACTGGAGGGGCCCACGATGAGGCTGCCCGGGCTCCCTATTCTCTGGCTGTACCGCTCTGTTTCGCTGGGGGGCGCTAGTGGACACCTGCTAGGACAGCAGAGACCACAGTGAGAAAAACAAAGGGCACAGCAGGAAGGAGAAGAGAAGAGAAAAATCCTTTAGTTCCCTGTTCTTTCCTGGTCCAAAAGCAGAGTAAATAGTCCAAGCTTGGGTTAAGGTAATGTCCCTGTGTACACAGTGCTAGTAAATCGTTGTTTTAGACAGTTTCGGGGCTGTAGATTGTGTGTGAGAGCGAGCGCGGGTTGTTCACGACTCTCTCTGTCTGTCGCCGATACTGAACTGACGTATGTACTGAACTCAGAGCAAGGAAAGGATCAAAACATTTTCCTCAGCTCCTCCCTCCTACCCCGCTTCAGCCTATCAGAGCCCAGCAGCTGTTGTTGGGTGGGAACTAAGCACTGAGGAAGGAACAGGAACAAGCAAACAAAGAGGAACGAGATACAAGAGAAAGAGGGGGAGGGGAGAGAAGTGAGCATAGAAAACAGACAGAGACAAAAAATATCTACAGTATCTAGCACAGGAGGTTGGTGGCACCTTAATTGGGGAGAACAGACTCGTGTTAATGACTGGAGCGAAATAAGTGGAATGGTATCAAATACATCAAACACATGGTTTCCAGGTGTTTGTCACAATTACATTTGCTCTGTTCCGGCCATTATTATGAGCCTTTTGCCCCTCAGCAGCCTCCTGTGATATTTAGAGGGGTTTAAATAAATGTATGTTATTATCTGTTGAATTGGTAAATGCTTCTGCTAAATTTTACTTTGCATTCTGATGCCAATGCAGAAGATAATTTGAATCTGGGAGAGAGAGGAACACAGAGCGAAGGTCAATTGATTTTCTAAGCAGTTTCCCTTTCTGTTCACCTGTTTGGCTTGTTATTCTTATCAGCTGATACAGAGCAGAGATAGGGAGAGGGAAATAGAAACTGACAGAAGGAAGGAGACAGGAACTGATAGTGAGGAGAAGGGCTCTGCGTTGTTGTCCTAAATTGGGCTTGTAGGAGCGCTAGACTGAATATAAAACAACAAGAATGGTCCCCCCTCTCACCAAAAACCATTACAGACCAGTGGTGTAGTGCAATTTTTTCTAGCTGAGGGAGCGCCATAAAAAAAAAAAAGACATCATAATTTCCCCAAAGTTTGTACCGACAGATGTAGCCAATTGAATAGCCTATCATTGAATATGCATGAAATGCATCCTCCAATTGATACGTCTGCCTATTCCCACACATATTGTCTCAATAAAATGTTGTATTTTTAATTCCCTCAAACACCAAGTTAGGCATAAGCTACCTCATTTCAAAATAGACCATCATCACTGCCACTGTGAATTAAAATTCTTTACGTTTTACTGGTGAAATGTCCAAACTGCATCTCCATGCCAATCATTTTATTGATCTCAATCAGTTTCATGGGAATATACATTTAGATCTTCTTGAATTACAGTTTTGTGAGCGAATTAGAGCAGATGGTGTACTGCGTTTCAATGAAAATATACTGAACGAAAATATAAAGGCAACAAGCAACAATTTCTAAGATTTTACTGAGTTACAGTTCACAGAAGGAAATCAGTCAATTGACATACATTTATTAGGCCCTAATCTATGGATTTCACATGAATGGGCAGGGGCGCAACCATGGGTGGGCCTGGGAGGGCATAGGCCCACCCACTTGAGAGCCAGGTCCACCCACTGGGGAGCCAGAATGAGTTTTTCCCCCAGAAAATTGCTTTATTACAGACATAAATACTCCTCAGCACCCCCCTCCCACTCCTCAGACGATCCCGCAGGTGAAGAAGCTAAATGTGGAAGTCCTGGGCAGGCATGATTACACATGGTCTGCGTTTGTGAGGCCGGTTGGATGTACCGCCAAATTCTCTAAAACGACATTGGAGTTAGCTTATGGTAGAGAAATTAACATTCAATTCTCTGGCAACAGCTCTGTTGGACATTCCTGCAGGCAGCATGCCAATTGCACGCTCCCTAAAAACTTGAGACATCTGCAGCATTGTGTTGTGTGACAAAACTGCACATTTTAGAGTGGCCTTTTATTGTCCCCAGCACAAGGTACACCTGTGTAATGATCATGCTATTTAATCAGCTTCTTGATATGCCACACCTGTCAGGTGGATGGATTATCGTGGCAAAGGAAATGATCACAAACAGGGATGTTAACAAAATTGTCCACAACATTTTAGAGAAATCAGCTTTTTGTACATATGGAACATTTCTGGGATCTTTTCTTTCAGCTCATGAAAAATGGGATCAACACTTTACATGTTGCGTTTATATTTTTGTTCAGTATATATGTGGTATAACTATTTGTAGGCTATAGCCTAATGTAAATACAAATACATATAGCTTAATATCATTTCACTGTTTGCGAAGAGAGTTTTATTGCGAGTAGGCATATCATTGTATTGTTTATCTTACACGCTGTATCATAAATAAACTTTCATTTGATTAGCTTGAACACATGGTTACAATATACCTATTACAGAATAAAGAAAACAGAGGTGAACTATCAATTCATATAATTTATTTGTATAGATTAAACATGCTATTAAATCAATTGACCAAGTAGTGAGCATAAATCGTTACTATGCAGAATTGCAGGAAATTCGTTTTAAAGCTGCCATTAAATCAAGCTTTTGGTGAGGTGTTGTAGCGGGTGATGATGGACGGAGTCAGACGCAGGAGAGGAAATCCCGGAATAAATGGTTTAATCAATAAACTGAGGTATGCAGCAATGCGTAATACACACCAGTGCGGACAAACGGCGCACTGTGGAAAATAAGGCACACGGGTGAAATAACCCAGCGATACACAACAAAAAGGATCTCCACCGAGCTATAATCTCCTCTACAATAAACAATCACACACAAAGACAAGGGGGCAGAGGGAACACTTATACAGGTACTGATGAGGGGATATTTATTTTTATTTAACCTTTATTTAACTAGGCAAGTCAGTTAAGAACAAATTCTTATTTACAATGATGGCCTACACCGGCCAATCCCGGACGATGCTGGGCCAATTGTGCGCCGCCCTATGGGACTCCCAATCACGGCCGGTTGTGATACAGCCTGGAATCGAACCAGGGGGTCTGTAGTGACGCCTCAAGCACTGAGATGCAGTGCCTTAGACCGCTGCACCACTTGGGAGCCCATATGAACCAGGTATGTGTAATAAACAAGACAAAACAAATGGAATGAAGATATGAGGAGCGGCAGTGGCTAGAAGGCCGGTGACGACGAACGCCGAAGCCTGCCCGAACAAGAAGAGGAGGCAGCTTCGGAGGAAGTTGTGATAGTACCCCCCCCCCCCCCCCCTTCACGCGCAGCTCCAGCAGCACGCTGACACCGGCCTCTGGGACGGCCAGGAGGACATGGAGCAGGGCGAGCCGGATGGCGACGGTGGAAATCCCGCAACAGGGAGGGATCAAGGATATCCCTCACCGGGACCCAGCACCGCTCCTTCGGACCGTACCCCTCCCACTCCACGAGGTACTGAAGGCCCCCCACCCGACGCCTCGAATCCAGGATGGAGTACGCCGGGACCCCCTCAATGTCCAGAGGGAGCGGAGGGACCTCCCGCACCTCAGACTCCTGGAGCGGACCAGCCACCACCGGCCTGAGGAGAGACACATGGAACGAGGGGTTAATATGGTAATCTGGAGGGAGTAGAAACCTATAGGTAACCTCGTTTATTCTCCTCAGGACTTTGAACGGCCCCACAAACCGCGGGCTCAGCTTCCAGAAGGGCAGGCGGAGGGGCAGATTCCGGGTTGAGAGCCAGACCCGATCACCCTGTACAAAGAACGGGGCCTCACTGCCGTGGCGGTCAGTGTTGGCCTTCTGGCGACGCAAGGCGCGCTGGGGTTGGAAGTGAGCAGCGTTCCACGTCTCCTCCGCGCACCGAAGCCAGTCATCCACCATAGGTGCTTCAGTCTGGCTCTGATGCCATGGTGCCAGAACCGGCTGATAACTTAAAATACATTGGAATGGTGATAGGTTAGTGGAGGAGTGGCGGAGAGAGTTCTGAGCATATTCGGCCCATGGCAAGAACACCGACCACTCCCCCGGCCAGTCCTGGGAGTAGGACTGCAGGAACCTACCCACATCCTGATTCACCCGTTCCACCTGCTCATTACTCTCGGGGTGAAACCCAGAGGTCAGGCTGACCGAGACCCCCAGACGTTCCATGAACGCCTTCCAGACCCTGGATGTAAACTGGGGACCCCAGTCAGACACTATGTCCTCTGGCACCCCGTAGTGCCGGAAGACGTGAGTAAACAGGGCCTCCGCAGTCTGCAGGGCCGTGGGGAGACCGGGCAGAGGAAGGAGGCTGCAGGCTTTTGAAAAGCGGTCCACAACGACCAGGATGGTGGTGTTACCCTGAGAGAGGGGAAGATCAGTGAGAAAGTCAATACACAGGTATGACCATGGCTGTTGTGGAACTGGTAAGGGCTGTAACTTACCCGCTGGGAGGTGCCTAGGTGCCTTACTCTGGGCGCACACCGAGCAGGAGGAGACATACACCCTCACGTCCTTAGCCAAGGTAGGCCACCAGTACTTTCCAGTCAGGCAGTGCACTGTATGGCCGATACCTGGGTGACCAGAGGAGGGGGATGTGTGTGCCCAATAGATCAGACGGTCATGGACAAGAGATGGCACGTACCGCAACCCAGCTGGACACTGAGGTGGAGATGGCTCTGTGCGTAACGCCCGCTCTATGTCCGCGTCCATCGCTCACACTACCGGCGCCACAATGCAGGAGGCCGGGAGTATGGGGGTGTGGTCTATGGGCCTCTCCTGTGTTTCGTACAGCCGTGACAGTGAGTCTGCCTTCACTTTCTTAGTACCCAGTATGTAGGATAGTGTAAAATCAAACCGGGTGAAGAACAGGGCCCACCTGGCCTGGTGAGGGTTCAGCCTCCTCGCAGCACGGACATACTCCAGGTTACGGTGGTCAGTCCAGACAAGGAAAGGGTGTTTCGGCCCCTCGAGCCAGTGCCTCCACACAGTCAGGGTTCTGACAACAGCCAACAGCTCCCAATCACCAACGTCGTAGTTCTACTCCGCTGGGCTGAGCTTCTTGGAGAAGAAGGCACAGGGGCAGAGCTTGGGTGGCGTGTCCCGAGCGTTGAGATAGGACAGCACCTATCCCTACCTCGGACGCATCCACCTCCACTACGAATGGTAGTGATGGATCGGGATGGGCCAGTACCGGGGCTGAGGTGAACAGAGTCCTCAGGTTACTGAAAGCCCTGTCAGCCTCAGCAGACCAGCAGAGC